GATTTTGTAGCAAATTGCGTCTTCGAATTTTACACCTGAAGAAAATATAGCTTTCGGGTTAAAAAATGGTGCAATTGCGAAGTACTTTGAAATCCGACCTGCCAATATAGCTACATTCAGAGTTTCCAAACTGTGCGCTGTAAACATTCAATCTAAGGTAAATTACACAGTCTTCCACATTACGAGAAAGAGGTCACATAATGCGCATAAAATTCTCCATTAGACGTGGACCATGTTGCATACCTTATAAGCCGTCTAAATAAGTTGGCGGATACAGCGCCTTTTGCAAAGACATGTGACCCCCTTAAAATATCTTATAATTAGAAACTTTTTTTAAACCGTAAAATGCAGTTCTCAAGTATGCCATTTAAAGAAGACGAAATTTTATGTCAGATTAGTACAAGAAAGAATACATTCCTGCGTTTTCTATAAAATATAGTTGAATCTAATGGAAACAATTAATAGGACTTTAGTAGACATTTTTGCAGAATGAATGTTTTTCCGGCGGTCAGAAAGAAGTTTTTTAAAGATCGGCATCCTGACGAGACGGAAATATCTTGGGATTATGCTTCAGGGCAATGCTTATTAGAACCATCGGAAACGGTTGGCATATCGAGAAACATTAGCGACACGGAAAGGAAAAACGACAATGTTTATTTCAAGCTTATGTGTGTCGTCATTAGCCAATCAGAGTCCGACCACAGGCAGGCGCCTGATGCCCACCGCAATTAGGTGTATTCTGAGAGGGGCGTGCGAGTGGCGTCCGCCGACACATCCAGATTGGAGGAAAGGAAAGGGGGATGACTCGCAAATGTCAGCTTTCGCTCAACAACCAGGAATGATCGGTGACTCCGGCAGCGCCGGCACGCCCAATCCGGTGGGGATACAAAAACAAGATAACAAGGACAAAGGGGCACAGTGATACCATCTCTCTCTCCCTCTCCACCCATAAAATCAAATAAAAGCATCCATAATGTCAAGTATTTCCGGAAAGATGTAAAGACGAACGTTCATAAAACTTCCGGTATATCATCTTGAACAAAAAAACTGCCTAAACATCACGTAGCTGACCAGCTACGCATAACACTAATTAACTAGAAGACGTTTAGACTTACGATTTCGTAATTATTTTCAGCAGCGTTGCGCACTGCTTTGTTTTTTTTTTTTAGCTGGGCACACGGACAGACAGGGTATACTTCGATAAATTATGAAGTTAACCTATTATACATTAACTTTCACGTTTTCAAATTGCACCCGTTCCTAAAAGTTGGCAGACATAACCAGAGTAATACTAATTTCAATGCTTTTTTTCCATCTAAGTGAGGGCTGTTCAGTTTAACTTGAAGGTTTTACCGACGCATACGAGTTATTAGGAAGTTTCGTGGACAGAATCAGGAAAAGCCTGAACTACACCTAGCCCGTTTGATAAAAATTAATTAATTAATGTATGCTTCCGATGAGGCGAGTAGTTACCGCTCTCAGGTAAGACTTGGTCGTCAAGGGAGGATATGTCTTGGAATAACGCAGCAGACGCTCTTTCTTCCGTGGCCGACTCCGACGTCAGGTGACGATCGCATGTCGCCGCCACACCCTAGTGACAGTTTTTTTCCCGTGCACGTGAGAGTAATTTTTGCTTCGCTTCGCGCATTCCACCCATGACCAGTGCTCACAGCCTAACCTATTTTCCTTCCTCCTCCTAGAGTTCAGTGGCCTGAACTTGCCGACCTCACAATGAAGGCAGTTTGAGAACGTGGAGTTTTAATTGTAAGACATTTACAAAACCCTCTTTCAACTCTCCTATTCACACTATCAACACAATTTTACAGGCCCGAGGATGAATCGCTGAAAACGCAGGTTTGCCAATCCGACCTTTGAAGCTCAACATGGGAATGATTGCCGCAGAAATGAGAGACAGTTTCCATCAGCAACGGC